ATTGTGTTGATGGTTAACCCCATCGAGACCCTCTTATTGGGCTGAATAGCGATTTATCCGTTGAATATTGTTATTCACCCTTAGAACAACTGGGCCTTCATTTTTAAATGCTTTGTGTGCAACGAAACCTCCCCCTCCCCACTCCTCCCCTTAGAGCAATCCCTGGGAAAGCTTTGAGTGGTTTTCTAGATTCTTCCCCGTGTTACCCTCCCAAACATTAACATGTTTCCGTCCCAAAGCAGACTTACCCTGGTATTAGAGGTTGGTGCGTCGTTATTGTAAGTTTAATCTTCAAGTCATCAGATGCGAGCGCCATATTAGCCGACAGCTGCAACACCTGAAACACACCATGAAGTGAATGCTTATGACTTCTAAAATACCAAAGGAATTCGTCACAGAACGTTATCTTCTTAACCCTTTATGTCATACGAGCTCTTACCAAGAGAAAATAATGGCACATCCTCTTCAGTTAACCAATAGAATGAAATTTTGAACTGATCTGGCAATGGAACATTTTCTGTATATTAAATATATAACGATATACTGATGCTTACTTGATAAATTATTCAACTGAACCTAAAGAAAGATTTTTTTTTCCCTTTCATTGCGGTTGTGAAATAGAAATTTAGAATTTTCATATGTCGACCCTAAAATACTCATGTAGGACATGCGAAAGAAATATCGTCACTAAATTGAAAATCGCATCAAGATCATTAACTTAAGCTTCGACTTAGAAAAGCTACAGCGAAGACAAAGAAATGTTCCAATGATGTGAGGTCAACTTTTTTTCTCTTTCTCTCTCTAAAGATAATCCCGGTAGTTTTTGGGTTTCCAAATGCAAATGAAATTCTGGACAACAATGTTGTATTTTTTCCAAGAGTATTTCCACGTTGCTTAGACAACTATATGGTTTATATTCACAATCTTCTCTTTTTTTGACTTCAAAATTTTCAGTCCATGATATTAATTAGGCATCATACTCACAAACATGAAATAGAGGAGAATCACTGACTCACATAAATTAAAGAGAATCCAGTAAATATCAGCATGATTTTGCGAAGATGGAAAAGCAAGCTGCTCCGCTAAGCACGCCCTTACGATTCGGATGCCATACTAATAAAACATGTCTGTTTTATGATTCCATCATCCGTTTCTAATCGAGTTTGAATTAAAATTAAATAGAACAAGTTTTTACCCTGTACAGTTTTAAATATTTAACGTAGTTCACATTAACAAGTCAAAATATTTACTGAATTGGGGACAATGCCCTCAAAGACTATTATGTTTAACCTTACGCTGCTCGCTATATTCTTAAATTATTTATTTCTCATAAGCTTTGAGTTTGGTAATATGTCTCATCGATTCCATTTTCTGTGTTTTTTATTGGTGGTGAGTACATGGAGTCAACATGGAGTCAGCAACATGTATGAATAAACATATGAACAAACATATATGAACTTCATATTTTCATCCTAACCAAACACTGAACTATATATTAAATAAACATGAAACTATTTACACTAAGTTATGCAGTTCCAAGCATGAACTGTGCGGCATGTCTGCTTGTGAATAAAAGGACTTTGTTTCTACATGAAAAATGCTGGTTATTTTCTCTTGGTGTCCCGTTGCAATTTTCCCTGTAAACGTCTCACGTGGTCGGGATCTAGGTCTGTAACTTATCATTTCAGTTACATGAAAATATTGAAGGGCCGCAGCCATGATGAAACATAGTTGAAATTTAAAAACGATCTCTGGCAAAATGATTAAAAACTACGAGCTTTCGACTTCCCGAACTGCAGTCTTCGACAGGTAAAAATTCTCTCATCGCTTGCTTATCATTCATTTTACCCGTCGAAGACTGCAGTTCGGGCAGTCGAAAGCTCGTAGTTCTTTAATCATTTTTGCCAGAGATCGTTTTTAAATTTCAACTATTTCAGTTACAGTTAAACGGTGCTTTTCCGAGAACCATAACAGCGGGTATAAACACGAACATCGTACGTTTAACCATTGAATAAGGGATTTATTACGCAACTACTATTTCATTTTCTAATATTCTAGCGTCGTAGCCTACGGTCCGACGGAGCACACTATCGATCGAATATGCCCACGTGAAAGATGAACAAAAAATCTGATGCGCTTGAAAATTTCTTTCTTTAAAAGTTACTCCTACAAAGTGAAATGAAATGAAATTTTACGTTGATCAGTGTGGCCATACAGTTTCTTTGCTTTACATTTGTAATTTTCTGTTTTTTTTCTTCATTGTAATGTCCCAAATTTTATGTACTCCGATGTCCTAATATAGTAAAATGACGTAGGCAATCAGCTTGTTGTCACTTTAACCTCAGCTCATATTGTCTCCTTGGAATATAATACAATAATAATAATCACAATAATAATCTTCTTATAAAGCGCTGTTTCTTTACTGAACCAACAGTACTTTACAACAGTGAATGATGTAACATTCAGGAAAAAGCCCAAAAAAACAATGACTGATTCTTACAATTCAAAATAATTTCCATAAGGTACGTCTTAAGAGCAGATTTAAAAGATTCTGTTGACATGCAACTTTTTATAATTAATGGGAGGATATTCCACAGTTTTGGGGCAATGAAATAAAAAGCTCGCTCTCCATATGTTTTAAGTTGGCAGCGGGGCTGTACCAGTAGTTATTTATCAGAACAACGTAATGTCCTTGATGGTCTAGAGTGACCTATAGACGGTCTAGAGTGACCTATAGACGGTCTCCTAAATACGATGGCGCTAGTTGATTAAGAGGTCCCGTAGATCGGGACGGCGCTAGTTGATTAAGGCATTTAAAATCCATTAGTAATTTTTTTTATATATCATAAGATTATTATTATGATTTTTATTATAAACTAGTTTACTTTGCTCTGTTTGGCTGGTGCAATTTCTTTGGTCTTGAGTTGGCGGCACTGAATGTATATGAGCTAACAAACATGTGTTGGCACCTTCAGCTTTGGTCAGTTCAGGCTTCCTTTAATATTAGAATCAAGATAGCACGGACAAAATAACATAATTAATGCTATCTAACGGATAAATCGTTATCCAGCGCACAGGTCTTGAAAAATCACAATATGTTATCTCTCAGATAAAGATTTTTTTAATATAGGTGGAGTTATCTTCCCTTCGAACCATGCTGGGCCCGTGGAGTTAAATTTTAATTTGCCGGAAATCGATCTTTAGGCGAAAATTTGCCCTCAGTTTTTTGTGCTGCAATGATTAAATGAAACCATTTTTTTTTTCCAAGTAAGAATAATTTCGATTGGATAGGAATACTGTGAATTTCAATAAGTACTTACTTTCTTTCTCTGTATTTCATTATGATTTTCGACTGTTTAAACATATCTGATGTTGTCCAATCATAAAGCATTCGTTTCTGTCACTTTCGAGTTGTGAAAGAGCAATGGGCTATCGTTCCTGCTTCGGGTGAAACAGTTCCTGTTTGTGTATTGTGCAGCTCTGGCAACAAGACAATGCTGCTGATAAATGGCGCTTTATCGAATTCTGAGAAAACAACTTTCAAGAGCTTAATTTTCAAATCAGATTGGTACAGGAAATCTAAAATCGGACCCACAAGAAACGAAACGTAAAATGTCATTCGAGTCAGGAAAATTCGTCGGCACCGTTCCCGGCAGGAATCAATTGACGGAATGAATGCATCACCCGCTTGAAGTCTTGAAGGCGAAGTCAGCGATTTACTAGAGCCAAACCTCAAAATGTTGAAAGCGAGAGGAATGTTTTCACGCTTAATTTCCTCCGATAGGTAAGCATGATCGTGGCGAATTACGAGTTTTTCCGAAGAAAAATCGATTTGAACACAGCGTGACGTCAAGTTCGTGTTTACAACGCCTCCGGAGCCCGGAACCTAATGCACTAGCTGCGAGCATAAAATGCATGGTGAATGAAGTGAAGATTTTTCTGGCCCATGTGCCTACATTTTGCCTAAGGTTAATGAAAGTGTATTATGTACAGCCTTGTAAAAGGCTATTTATCGAGGTGAGATTTATTTTTGATAGCCTTCTTTGCCTTACTGTCCGTTTCTGTGCGACTTCTTTTGATCGTGCTAGGGTTGTGGCTGAAATTGATTAGCTAATCTGTTAGACTGTTAACTCCATTCATTGATTTGAATTTCAATTTCCTCTACAGTTCGAACGTAGAAGAGGAAGAACACGACTCAGCTTTTACTGAAGAAGCTGTGCAATCCCGCGAGCTCAAAGAAAAACGAACTGCTTTTCGTTCGTCCAGAAGCAAATCGGAAAGCAGTGCTGTGTCTGGCGATTCCGCTGCAAGATATATTTCGTGGGAGAATGTGTCATTCTTAGGACACGAGTTGAGGAAAACGGTTCGGAAAGGGTTTCACTGGTTGGCATACACTTCGCCAGGTAAGAATCATAAGAAGGTGTTGAATCCTCTATGCTGCAACTTGTTTCGCGAAGGTCGTCAGTTGGAGGACCCGCAATTTTTGATGAAATTTGCGATTAGACAAACATTCATCGAGGTAACCGTTCGCCAAAGAACAAATTTATCTGTGCTCGATTTTTTCCGCATTTGCAGTCTTCCTCTTGTAAAGGTGTATTTAGTAGCATGTTTCGAGAACACTCGTGATTTCAGAATCGTGTTTGACTGAGCTTTGTTTTACGCGAATGAATCATGATATTGCAACGACTTCGCAAACTATTCTCTGTGACAACGCGAAACATCGTTGAAAAATTTGTGACCATCGTTGCCGTGAGATTTTTGTGTTAAATTATGATTATTGTTGGTAGAAGTGACATGGATTAATAATTTACAAAGACAAGATTTGTTTTCATTCCCCCTCGTGCAAGAGCAGCGAGCTTCGCGGTCTAAATGGCTTCGCTTTTGTTATAAGATGTAGTCGTTATTAGGCCAACAAAACCCTGGTATTGTTCCGAATCGTTTGAAACAACTTTCAGCCCCGTAACATGATGACAGATCTTTAATTTCGTGGCAGTCGGATTTACAGCTTTATGGCGAGTGACAGTTTAATTTTAATCAATGAGATGGAATCGTAAAACGTAGCGTACCTTTTCGACTTGGATCACTTTAACTCTAACCTGCACCGCTCTTGAGGCTGTTTCTATTTTATTTGAAAATCTCCGATTTTTTGCCTTTGTTTTAAATTTGTTCTTGCCCTCATAGATAGCGAAATGTCGTCAAAAGTTAAAAGACAAGCCCCTCAAGGGACCAAGGAGTATCTGGTTTGTAGACAAGTTTGTTGTAGCAATTGTTTTAAATTTTTCATTTATAGTGTATACTTAGAATGGTTAAATTTAGAATTACATCCTTAGTTGTTTGGGTTTTAATGCACCATAGAAATGAACAGAAACAATTACTTTATTTTATTTGAGCAATGCATTATGGATTGTCTGATATGACTGACTACAATATTTTGTTGTTGCAATATTTGATTCCCTCTGGACAAATAATTACCGAGACATTCCTCATTTCTTTTATCAAGATCTCTTTGATTGTTTTTAATCTTAAACAATCTGCAGATAATTTTAGTAACATGTAATATGTATGCTTTCAGGTATTATTCAATCCTCGTTTAATTTTTTTTTTCAATGAAAAACTTGCTTGTCCAATATTTGAATTATTATTATTATTATTATTATTATTATTATTATTATTATTATTAATAAGCCTTTCATACCATGACTATTCATGATAAAATGGATGTGTTTTTTCAAGTTCCATGCAGCATTTTGATGACTCTTGATAGAGGATATATAATACCTCATCTCTTAATAGCAATAGAAGGAAAATTGAAAGCATCAAGCCTTGCCTTTTTCCCCTCCCTATTGCTGCTTCATACAATCTTGAAGAAATAAAATTCATATCAATACTAGATATGTACATTTCTTCATTACATGTAGTTTGAATTAATTTTTGAATCATTGTGGTATAGCAAGCTCCTCTAACCCTTTTGTTGTCAGGTTGATAACAATGATACGCTGGCAAAGATTGCACTGTCATTCGACACCACTCCTTCTGAGCTGACTCGTATCAACAAACTTTCCTCTCATATGCTTTTCCCAGGCCAGGTAAGCAAATGATAGTTACAGGGATTTGACATCACAGTGCAAATGGACCTTTTTTTGAGAATTCTTACTTGTTTTAATTTTTAGAGGCCAGGTTTTTTTAAATCTCCAGTACCGGAAATTTTACCGTTACTCTTTAACTTTCAATGTACTGAGCACACAAACAGCAATTGCTTGACCTACTCAGTGTGTCACACAGGCCATGAAGGCGTTAAACCCCTTAAAATCTGATTGCCTAATTGTGCCCTCATAACTGGTCCAGATATTTATAATATGGACCACAGTTAGGAGTTTTTTCCCCATTTGGAACTCCTGCACAGTAAATAACATACAGTCAGGGATTTCATTAATTCTGTAGGTGTAGTTGTATACTAGAACACGAGTAGGTACTAATGATGGCAGATTTGTTATCAGTCTTTCTCTTCTGTCCATTCAACATGGTGCGCTGTGAACTGATCTTATTATTGATCGAATTGTTAGAACTTGTTACAAAAATCACCCAACAACCAAAAAGGAGACCAAATTTCACAAAAAAAAACATCTTTATTGATGACCACCTTTAGAATAATTTATATTGAATGTTTTCCATAAAACACGTATAAACCGGGAGGGGGAATGCCCAAAGTAGCCTGGTCCGTTGTGGAGAGTAGCTGCTGGAATTCGCTGGTTGCCCGGTTCTAATGAAATCCCTGTATAGTTAAATATCTGGACCTCACATACTTTTAAACTTTTGGCCAATGGGAGGGTTGTCATTAAGCGCTGGCAAAATGTTGCAAATGACTGGACACAGCTGGCTGAATGGCTGCCTCAATCAGCAGGCCATTTTCTTAGCTATAACACTCCATTGTGATTATGACGATAGTTAATATACACAACAGTTTTCGAGGGTTCATGCAATAATTTATTGAGGTGCTCTGTATTAAAGCTACATGTACATGCTAGACAACAGAATACTGCAAAATTCCAGTGTTAATCCCAAGATTATAATTATGTTTATGCAACATTTTGAGACATTTTGAGTGAATCTTTAATTATCCAAAGCTTAGCAATCTGTAAGGGACAATGTAAGTCTGAAGTGTACAGAGCACACAAATGGTAACCACTGTGCATTTAAATTAAATTTTAACATGTGATCATGAAGTGTAAGCATGACATACAGCCCTGTAGTCAAATCTTTTAAGTGTAACTAGAGCTGTTAACAAAAGAATAATTATACAGTGTACAGAAAGTTTGCAGTTCCAATTCTACTCTACAAGGCTGTCAACACTCCACAGTGGGAGTTTCAATAATTTTTTTCATAGGCAGCTGTAAACAGTTAATTGCATGTAAACAGCTGTGCTCAGAAAAGGAGCTGTTAGGCAAAAACCAAACAGGCGAGAGAGCCTTCTTGCATGCTAAAGAGAAGACAAAAAGAGTCACCTTAAGGGCAGCAGTTTACTGCAGGCAATCAGCTTTTTGAAAAAATCCTGTATTGTATCCAAGGCTTAGAAAAATATTGGTGAATTTTTTTTTTTTTTTTTCTATGAATGTTTCAAGTTATGATCATTTTTAACTTAAACAAAAGGCAACAAAACAGAAAAGGAAGGGAAGGCTTATGGCAGAGGGGACCTCACAAGTGTCTTTTCTGTAAAACAGTGGTTGAGTGTCGGGTAAATGATGCTTTGAAAAAAAGCTCTTAGTGTTTTCCTATAGACTGCAAGAGTTCCAAGCTGTCCTATGTTCGATTGTGAAACACAGGCCGACATTGATGATGCATTTAATTATTTTGTTCCAAACATCCCCTTATATCATGTTACATTTTGCAGTATTAGCATCTCTTTGCTAGCAGAAATTTCCTAATTTTGAATTGTCATATCCATATTTTAGTTAAAAGCAAGCATGCAGCCATAACACTCGTGTACAAAGCTAAGATTAGTTTTTTTCCCAGTGTTTTACTTCTGCGTGAGTTATTTGCTAGCTTCTTTCTGGTGATGCAGGGTGGCAAGGTTAATAATTAACAAGAGTAGGTACTTGTAGTTGAATTATGGGATATTCATTGAGAAAAACAATGTGCAAATTAATCTGATCTCATGTGTTGTGGACTTCTCAACATAAAATATGATTGTTGAATGCATATGGCCAAAGATTTACCTGAAAGCCTGTTTAAGGGTAGGGTTTCCTATGGGATAAGCCCAGGGAATTGGTTTAACTTGTTTTGTATTGTTTTCAGCGTGTGTTATAGTTTTAAGTCTTTTGAAAGTACATGTAGGTAGCTTAGATTAATACAACATGGGTTTACAAGCGTGGTGTAGTTCTTACCAATCCTTGGTTGTAGAGAGCCCTTTAAAAGTTGACCCAAAGAAGTAATCTATCTTTTTACTGCAAAATAGAATCATGCACTGTGTAGTTTATTGTAAGGACTTATCTTACATGATCATCTTGCAATTGTATTTCAGTAGTTTGTATGTTGATCATCAAGAACCATTTGCCAGTTGAATGTAAATTATACCAGGTTGTTATGAACATTACACCATTTTAGACAAAGAAAAACTGCCCCATTTTATAATAATTAAAATTATGGAAGCTACATGACTTGTATCTAGATGTAGTTCTATTGATGTTCCAAGGCATCTATTTGCCCCAGAATAGGGTCAAAAATTAGATGAAACAGGCATCAGAGAGCTCTGGGGCCTGTTTTTGCAAAAGTTTGGGTTACATTAGTGGCCCAAATTGTAAGGAATAATAGTGTGGGTCTTTACTAAATAACAAGAGCACTCTGTTTGGTTTCATGATATCTAATTGTTTGAATTTCAAAGTTGTCACTACCCTGATCCTGGAAGAAATCAGCTTTTTGGCCCATAAAGTTACCCTCACACCGTCTTTTAAGAAATGAACTCTTGGATCTAATTTCACTGGCAAGAGGGAAGCAAATTAGCTGGCTTAGTACAGATATTGAGGCTTTATAGATGGGTGGGGCCTTATTGACTGATGAACCTACATATATAAATGCAACAGAAATACATCTTGCAGTGTACCTGTATGGAAAAATTAATGCATATTACTTCTCCTGAAGATATTCTACAGCCTGAGATACATGTAGTTAACTCCCAGACGTGACTCATAACAGTTTTGTTTCACTCTCCAGCAGGAAGGTGATAAAAAAACTGAAATTGTTAAGACTTCCAGAGCTTGATAAATAAATAAATAAATAAATAAATAAATAAATAATTTAGCAGTGGACATCCACTGGGTGGCTCTTATTGTCCACTGTTAACTTCTCAACTCACTAGCCAAGTGGCTAGTGACATCTTACATGTTACATACAACAATTCATTTTTCAGTTTGTTTACCAGCCAAACTGGCCAGTGGAAATAAAAAACCACTAGCCAAAACTGAATTTATACTAGTCTGTGGTTAGTTGGCT